ACATCATGTCATGTGTTTCCAGCGATTTGGAAATCATGTTTTACAGGAAATCATGTTGGAAATCATGATTTTTTTTACATATTTATACATATTTAAGTTAATTAACCATATGATGTTCATCATGAAATCTACGGCTTCTCTCCAACACTTCGGATTTTCGCTGCCACAGCTTTCTGCTGTGCGTAGGAAGCGCTTCCCACGCCAAAATCCGTCCGAGGTGCTAAATGCTGAAATTCCGGCTGCCACTTGGAGTGATTACAGAAACCAAACCTACAACCCATAGGATCCATGTATGCTATATATGGTAACATTTACCATCAATATACCCCCAATGTTAGCATATATAGCATACATGGATCCTATGGGTAATGGATGTTTATTACTGGGTTAACATGGTTTACCAGGTTTACCACATGAAGTGGCGACTGACATGATTCATATGATTCATAAGTGAAAGATCACCTAGAAAGTACCTCAGTTGTAAAGGGCGATAAACCATATACAGTGACCACTAGTACGTTAGATGGTTGTGGGTATCTGGGGACTCAAAAAACAGCTGGTTCCACCAAATTCATACTGATTATAGATCCCATGTTTTTTAAAATCAGCAGCTGAGGCTGATCCCCTATCAATCTATGTTCATTATCACATTTCACAAGAATCATCCGTTATTTGATGAGACTACTTGTCTGCCAGCTTTCAACCAAGTTTCATTGAAAGACACATGTTCATCTTAAATCGGATATGTTCCGCAGTTGTTATCTATGATGTTCATGAAAATAACCCAAAAAATGTCATCCATTTATGCGATGTTGACGAGATAATCATCCACGAATCTCAAAGTGTTCATCCAAATGTTCGAAAAAGTATGAAAAAGTTACCATTTTTCTAGGAGAAGATCCATAAGATATCACCATCTAGGGGAAAATCCATAAAAATCAAGCATTGTTCCACGGAAAATCCCTAGGTTTTCCGGCACCTCAGCCGCCGCTGGACGCCGCGCCCCTGCAGGGCCAGGTGGGCGACGTGCTCCGGGCCGCCCCCGGCGCCGGCGCCGGGTGCGGCCGCGGCAGGCGGCCCTCGGAGGGCGGCGGACGCCAGAGACGGACCTCGGGACATCCGAGGTATCGAGGAAAAGGTCGGGGATCATCTGACATTACCCTCTGGTAAACTAACATAGCTATAGAAAATAGCCCATTTGTTGTGGATTTACCCATTAAACATGGTGATTTTCCATAGCTATGTTAATTTACCAGAGGGTAATATTTACTTGCTGGTATACCCTCTGGTAATTAATGGTGATTTAATGGGATATACCCTCATGTTAATGGGTGTTGAATGGTGATTTAATGGGATATACCCTCTGGTTTTGTCAAAATAGCTATTGAAAATGACCCATAGAAATAGTTGGTTTACCGTTCTTAATAGCATGGTGATGTTCCATGGTTATGTGACAGTTTACCAGAGGGTAATATATTATACACCATTTGACATTCATATTCACTCATTGGCAAAGGTTGACATTCATATTCAATCATATTCATCTGACATTAACATATTATACACCATGAATGTGAATATGAATATGATTGAATATGATTATAGAAATGTTGTTTATGAATATCTGATCAGTAGTGATATATAGGTTGGAATATGAACTGATAATTAATTGTTTATGAATATGTATTCATATGATTCTGACTGAAATACACCATTTATAAGATTATCCCCATAATATGCCAATGATAAGTGGTGATATATGATTGGAATATGAACTGTTTATGAATGTCCTAAATATGTCAGATCTGTAATATTTTATATATCTGGAAAGGTATCATAATGTATCTCAAGTAGATTCAAATGGGAGATACATCAAGAAATTTTGGAGGAGGATGGCAGATGGCTATCACCAGCATCTGGGTGCTTTCGGGAAGGCCATCCAACTCAATGGTGGAAACGCCAACAATGGTGGAATAGGAGGCAGCCAAGCCCAAGGGTCAAGGGTCTGTGCTTGGCTGAGCATCTTCAGAGCTAAGGGCGGATGATGAGACAATGAAAGTGAGTTGAAACTGCACGGTACCCGTCACTTCTCAAACAATTCTCCTCTGTCCATGTGTCAAAAGAAATCCCAAGTAAAATCAGAATCCCGATTCCAACCATAGATATACAATCACTTAAGCATCGACACCAACAAATGGGCTTGGGTCAGAATTTGGTACTTCTAACTAATTGGATAGTCAAAAATGTGGTCCCCTGGGCACCCCTGCAGCCGCCAGGATCGTCGCGAGGATCAGCAGGGCATCTGCCCTTGGTTCCACCTTTCCCGCTGTCGACCAGAAGGCAGCTTGAAATATCATCTATGGCAACCCACAAAATCCGGGGATAAAAACATTAAAAACTATGTGAAACATATAGAAAACATGAAACATTAAAAACCGGGGAAATGTCGGGAAAACAATGTGAAAACATCATCTATCACATCCTGGAAACAAAAAAAATCGGTCTATTTGGGGACCCTATCATACACGTTGGTAAGCGAACATGACTATGGAAACCCACTATTCTGTAGAGGGCAGGGATTTATCATCTACTGTCATGCGTCATTTTCTGTAGCCATGTCAGACTACTATACACAGAACATGGGGACATATCGGGATACTTGACCAAGGCAGAAAGATGGGAAGGAAAAAGCATCCCGGAGATGTTGTTGATAGTTGCTTCAAAGACCTGATATGGGGGGGTTGTGTTTGACCAAATCAAACGGTTGGCGTGACCATTGTTGTCTTCTTCAGTGACTTGCAGAGTCTTTTCGGTTCTTTGGATCCATATCAAATCGGGTTTCATTATAGGTATGGAATAGAGATCTTCACCAACCAGGATGGGCAATGGGGACTTTGGAAAAAATGAGTTTCGCTTGTTGCGATGCCCTGACAACGCACCTGCAAATGCCAGAAGCCATCCATCTCCATGCCTCCCAGGCTTTCTCTGATGGTCATTGCCCAGTGTCTCGATATAAAGAGCATGGCCAACACAACCTCAATCCAAAAAAAATTGGCTTTAATCAAATCCAATCAAATCCATATTTCCACCATGGCCAAAATTAGAAAATATTGGAACATGGCTTTCCAAAACATTTTTTTTTTGAGGTACTGTATCCCTCATCTTCCAAGAAAAATGTTTGTAAATCTTGATTTTCGAGGTACCTACCCTTGTTCAGACATCGCAGCGCACACTGCACGCCTCCCTTGGCCAATTGTCGTCCCGAGCCCGAAGTGACCACAGCCGCCAGGGTGATTCGATTCACCTCATGACATGAGTGTGTCATAGTGTGTCTTCAGAAATGGGACCAAGGTATATCCACCAAAAGAAACGCAACGCTTGATGTTGTTTTTGGACTGTTCCTGAGAGAAAGTCATGGGTACCCTCTGGTAAACTAACATAGCTATGGAAAATAACTATTTTTAATGGGTAAAACCACTATAAATGGCAATTTTCAATAGCTATGTTAGTTTACCAGAGGGTAACCCATCCCAACTCCACCAGCCCCATCTTTCACCCGCCCGGCCTCCGCCTTCAGGGCGAGCACCTCATTGTGCCGCACCAAGCAGCAGCCCGAGGACTTCTCTAAGGTGCCGTACAGCCTCTCCTGTAGCAGTCGATTCATCATGGAATCCATATGGAGGTGTCCTGAAATTGGGGGGGTACCCCTGTTCATCATCCATGATATCCATGTTGCTTTGGGATGGTTCATTATAAACTATATATCAACGATCAATCTTTGGGGTAGCCCCACTATGGAAACCTCCGTGATTACTTACCAATGTCTGTCAGATCAATGGTCATTTCAGGAACCTAAAATGGAGGTACTGTACCATATAAGGCCATATTTTGTGGGGATATTCCCTTACATAGGCCTTACATAGGCCTTATACATGGTAGGTACCTCAAATTTAGGTTCCTGAAATGGCCATTGATCAGAATTATGATATGTCATAAAGGTTAAGGTATCACTGAATATATTCTGATGTCATATGTCATATAATGTGGGTAAGAATAACTCATATGTCATCGCAAATTCCTGGGTTTACAATGGATGAAGAGGGTTTTTATAAGGTTCCTTACAAACGTCCAGAAAGCTCGTCCTTGACGAGCCATTGCGGTTTCCCCGTGGGGCGTCTTGATTTGTGTATGGGTAAGTTCACCTTTATCAATGGTCATCCCTTAGTGAATCAAGACTCATCTGCAGTTCCAATGATTTTCTTCGACCTGGAATTCCATCCTTGGATTCTAATGATTCCAAACCAGCTCAGGTTCTCTTGTTGGTATCGTTGTTTGTATATATATATATATACCATCTATATATCCCATCTAGAATCTATTTATATTGTATGTATATTGCATAATATATATATATATATGTATACGTATATTTGTTTCGTTTTAAAGTGGCATACCAATTCTTGATGATCGACCGCCCCATGAATTTCTTCTTTTTAGCTCAGACTCCCAGGCGCAACTCCGAACCAACGCCATCGGCAACGCCACGCCGGTCCTTGCGCGCAAAGACGAAGGCGTCGTAGCCAATGGCTTCAGGCGCCACCTGGTTTTTACTGGGAGAAACCATGATCTAACCATTGTTTTCTATCAAAATTGTATCTAAAATTGGAGAATAACATGACATAACCTCTGAATACCTCTGAGTTATGGCCAGTTAATGGGAAAAATATGAATGAACATGATCTATAAATTGTCTATAAGTCTATCCATTGGATTTGGGGCTACAACATTCTCAAACAACTTGGATATGGCCCCTGGCTTTCGCCAGGAATGGGATGATGGTGCTCCGTTAGATGTTTCCCACTTCACCGAGAATGCCGAAGAATATTGAAGGTTCTTGGTTTCTGGGAGAAATATGACCACTTGAGACTGCGATGCTTCAGTACTGCATGACTAGTTCTTGCCCAAGTCTCCATGCTATGCTGGCGATCTGATTGGAAGCATTTTTGCGGCCATCTGTGCGGCTGTTGGAAGCTGAAGCTGCGCAACTAGATTCTACGAAGCCAAACCTGTTCCTGCACTTCGTGAATCTCTCATCCGCGCCAAGAAAGAAACTGTAAGAAGCTGTACACTTTCAGATTCCCAACGCTGTAAGAAGGAAAATTTGAGCTTCCGGCAGCACTAAAGAGCAGCTCTCAAATTTGGGACACTGCTGCCCACGTCGGCTGCCAACTCTCTTGGAACATGGCTGTACACAAAGATGTACACAGCAGAGAACGGAATTCCTACCACTCATTTCCAGAGGAATCAATGTAGCCATCTGGGGCGATGTCGCGAAATCCATGGGGCCCATCATCATAATCGTAGTCGTCAAAACGATCATAATCATCGAAAGGATCAAAATCATCAAATCGATTCAAACGACCAATGCCAATGCGAACCGGACAGGACCTAGCCATGTGCCCAGTACTGCCACATTCGAAACAGCGTGGTTTCTCGACTGCTGCTCTTCCGAGATATTGTGCACTCAAGCCCAGTGAGAAATCGCGCTCGCTCATGTGCTGGCCCTTTGCCGGAACTGAAGCATTCACGGCACCTTGCAAACGGGCTTGTGTGACACGCAAAACCGCCTGCGAGGAGGATCCACTCCACATGGCCTTCACTGGAAGGAGGTACTTGACGTCAGCTGCGGCATAGTCCACCAGGGCCTGCCGAAGCGGCCGTTCCATCCACACACTGTAGCGACCTCCATGGTCGGGAGCAAAGAGCCGCCTTCCTTCCTCCTTGAGGCGTTCAAGCCGGGCTCGTTCCATCAAGGGCACCACTCCAGCATCGCTGAGACACTTCTGCAGACCCTTCACATACCTGTCACCGCTGCGACTGTTGCGCAAGGCATGTTGAACTTGCAGATCAAAGGCATGGTGGATTTGGACTCGATGCCGATGGTAGAGAGCATCAGCATCTGCTCTGCCATCATACACCACCTTGCAAATGTGCGGAGATTCCAAGACTGCTCGCAGACCCCCCGCATCAAAGGCAGCTTGGCCCATGGCAGCGATGTCAAACAGCATGACCTTTCCACTCTTCGAGCACAACTGGATCAGGGCAATTGATCCTGTCCGGCATAAGTCGATGCCTTCCACATCCATCGCTAGCTCTTCATGGTTCATCAAATGGCTTGTGATGAGCGCACATGTCTGGATGGTGTCAACCAGCAAAACACCTTGTGACATTGCACTGGTCTCCACCTGAGCGCCTTGGATTCGAGCCTCACTTGAGCCATCCCCACGAGCGGTTCCAACATCTTCCATAAATATATGGCTATCACAAGCCATTCACATATGATAACATATTTAAGTACCAATCATCCAATCATCCAATCATCTACGGATATTCCAATCATCCAATCATCATTTGCATATCCCAATCATGGGATATTAATATCTTAATTATCTTAATATCAAGTTATCTTAATCATCAATAAGGGATATGGCTATCCAGTTCCACCCATCCAATCATCCGTTGCTCAGTCGTCGATCTGGCACCTGGATGCTGCAGCGCGGATCGGTCTCGCAGTTCGGAAAGCTGATGCGCAGGGTGTTCCTTACGGCGCTCGAGGCAAAATCTTGCTGGGGAAGTCAGCTGGAAGCTGGGAAAATGTGAGAAAATCTGTAAAAAAAAAATGGTGTTGTTTTGGAAGACGTTGCTGTTCCACAATGTGATACATGGGAAATGACAGGCATTTTACGCTTCCATTGGCACCACTGACAACGTAGGTATATAGAGAAAACGGAGATGTCACAATCATCTGGCTGGTGGATATAACTTAGAACTAACAAAGACAACATCCCAAGAGCAGGAGAAGCGCCACAAGTAGCACAGTTCCTTCATAGAATTGACATGTCATGGTGAATTCTTGTGGGCCGGGAACCACCCGGCTGCCTTTCTTCATATCGAATCAATAAATCTAAGCTCCACAAGTCCACGAGAGCACAATGTCTAATATATATATTATATATATATATGTCTAAATGAGATATGCCTAACTTATGTTCCCCATGATTTCCATATATTTCCAACTTCTTAAATTTGGAGGTCAATGGAGGTCAAAAAGTTCCACCAAGCGTCACTAACCATTCCAACGGCCCGCCACTTCCGTGTCTTAGGTCCGCACAGGCCTTCCTTGGTCATACCAATGGCTGCCACCAGAATTGCCCTCATGCTGCTAGGTGCTGGGAGATTCTATTCATCATCCCAACTGATTTACAAGTAATATATAACAACATGCAGAATGATGATAATGATAATAATGATAATGCTAATAATAATAGAGGAAGAAAAAGAAGAAGAAGAAAAAGAAGCAGGAGGAGGAGGAGGAAGAAGAAGAAGAAGAAGAATATATATATAATGATGGTAATGATAATAACAATAATATTTAATGATAATGCTGATAATAACAGAGGAAGAAGAAGAAGAACAGATGATTCCAATGTGTATATATGTAGTAGATACCAATAATGGATTGAAGCCTCATCCAAAAAATTGCAACCATGAATGGTTGATTCTATCCATCATGATATTCTTGAAACGCCAATCAGATTCATCAATCTTTGAGAAGGCTGCTTCAACCAAAACGAACAACTTGGGTTGCCCCCATTCTTCCTTGAGACCTCAAAAGATTTTCACAAACACCGAAAAAAACATTGAGGC